GGCCATTACAATAAACTGCACAATAGCCTCTAGATCCTGATGCTTTTTTGCACTGGGTATGTCTTTGTTTTTTTTAAACAGTTCTTTTTTCCATGGAAACAGAGATAGTAGTGCGCCTATCCAGCAAACCATACACTAAAAAGGACCAACAAATTTTAAAGAACAAAAATAAAAGCCCCCCCCTCCACCAAACAAAACAAAACAGCCCCACCCCAAATAACAGAACTAAACAAAACAAAAAACCCCATTTACACGAGGTCTGAAAAGAGGATATCGTTCTGTTGAGGACTCAGAAAGTGGTCCCGATCAATAGTCTCTCGTCCATCACTTTAAAGTTTTAAATTTGCTTTGAAAATGATGACACAAGTGGAGAAAGTCTCAATACCAAAGGGTATGTCGGTTTTAAAAGGTGTTAAAATCAGTAATGTTAAAAAGTCCCGTTTCTCCACCCCCCATACACACATACCCACACACAGACACAGACACACACACACACACACACACACACACACACACACAAACAAACAAACAAACACAAACACACACCAATTCCGCCTCCTCCCCAACCCCCAACCCCCAACCTCCCCCCTAAAACAACAACAACAACAAAACAACCAAAACAAACCGAAACAAATAACAGCACTTACACACACTCACACTCAAAAACCGCCTAAACAATTCTGGGAAGTGAACTCACAAAGCATGATAAATTTTACGACAGGATTTCAGCGTTTCAAAGACAAATCAAATTTTTACCTTTAGAAGCCGTGCCCATTGACATTATTATTCCATTTTACGTTTATACCGCATGTTTGTCTATACATTCCCTAAGCTGTGTTCTGTAGTCGGCGAGAGAATGAGTCAAAATAACTATATTATTATGCAGACAGACAAACACAGGAAGAGAAAAAGAGAGGGAGAAAGAGAGAAAGAGAGAAAGACAGAAAGACAGAAAGACAGAAAGACAGAAAGAGAAAAAGATATAATAATAATAATAATAATAATAATAATAAATAGCATTTGTATAGCCCATATCCCTGGCGCTCTACATGACAGCAAGCTCTATGAGCTTTACACTATATTACTATTACCCTAGCAGACCATAGAACACTCAGAAACATTCTCAGCTTCCTGGAAAGCATACAGTGAAAGCAGCTGATTAAGCGTTCAAACACTACAAAACTGATAGGATCTTTCGCTGTCTATAGCTGAGTACCCATTCCCACCTGGGTGAAGTGAAGAAAATTCGTGTAAAGTGCCTTTCCCAAAGACACAATGTCAGGTCTCAGATGGGATTCGAACCTGGGACCTTTTGAGTGAGAGGCCAACACCTTAACCTCTAGGCCACCGATGCCACATATTCATGGGATTCCTAATTTTGTTTTTCAATGGTTTCTGTTCTAAATATACGAGTGTTTATGCCTAATAACACTATTTTAGTACTAAAAAGTTGAGGAAAAACAGGCTTGTCTAAGAAAGCCGACTAGAAGAAATGAAAAAATCAGACCTAAAACCTCCTTTCCTCATCTCCGCATACCTAAAATAATGTCAGCATAAAATAATAAAATATTAAAGTTATACCATAAAAAATGATAAAAGATTGGCAAACGGAAAAAAATTGTGAGGTATGTAAAAACGAGAGTCACTGTGGGACCGTAAGACCTTACAGTACGTTTCCTCTGAATTCTAGATGGCCAACACCAACAAATTAAAAAGTTGAAAAAGTTGGCACAAGAGCTTACAGTTCACTATGCTTGAGATATAGAGCACAAACATAAAAGATGGCGTCGGTGGCCTAGTGGTTAGGCTCTCGGACTCGCAACCGTAAGGTCGTGGGTTCGAATCCCGTCAAAGGCCCGACGTTGTGTCCTTGGGAAAGGCACTTTACACGAATTT